CTGAGGAAATGATGATTTTTACGGGTGAAATCTATAGGATGGAATGGGGCACAGCCAATTTTTGGACAAATCCAACAAACGAACAGAAAATTTGGCAATCCCCGTGCGCCGTTCATATCAAATCCTTTAGTTTGAGAAGTTGTTCCTATCGGCTTTGGAAGATTCACATGGCTTGGACTGGCCGAGAACCCGAATGAAATCAGCTGAATTCAGCAGATTCGGGTCCGGGACCCCAACATGAATATAGATTCAATACTCAACCGGGCTTCCAAGGTTCAGAGTGATATTTAATACTAGGACATACTAGGACGACGGGAGAACATGTGAAATGGGGATTCAAACCTATCATACCATAGCGATGAATATCCACCATCCACCAGCCATTGAAATCCCACATGTTTGACTCCCAGCCATCGTCAAATCGTCCGAGTCACCGCCCCGGCGATGGGGAACGACAGCTGCGTCGGGGGCTTTGCCTTGAAAAACTTCGGCTACGCCGAGCTGAGGCGAAAAAAACTGAGGCTTTCACCATGAGATATAACAGTTATATAATCCTACCGTGCACTGTAGAAGTTCACTGGGCTTGGGACTCTCAGACATTCTCAGACTATAATTGCGTTGAAATGAACTATAGGACATATTAGCGCGTCCATTAGTTGGAGTTGTTGAACCGTTCCCAACCCTTGCCACCTCCCCTGATGTCCGAGTCCCCCAACGATGCCCAGGGTGACGATCTTCCTTAGTCATCTAGGTATATCATCGATGGTTTCTGGTACTCATGGACCCACAAAAGTCTGATCAATTTGAGTCAAATGCGTTGACAATGTAAAATAATGATTGAATAATGTAGAGACATCTGGAAATCAGATCAAAAATGCATCATGGCATCATGTTTTATCTTTTCGAACCACAGAGCTATCTTGTGCTATCTTATGCTATACAAATCCCCATAAATCATGGGATTTGAGCGAGCCACGGCCACCTGGTGAACGCTCCCGGCTGACGGTGCTCCTGGTCATGTCTTCCAAAACAGAGGTGGTTCTGTGAGGGAAAAACAGGAACAAGAAACTGGGATAACTATGGTAAATATGGGAACAATTGAGTTTGAATTATATTGATATAATGAATATAACTATGACTTATAATGTCTTATATCTATACCAGATACTGATACAAATGCGGATTTTCAGATATCAAATGTGGGACATTTATAAAATGGAGATAATAATGTGGAAGCCAAACGCTACTTTCAGGTTTCAACGGATTGATATGTTGGGGGAAGTCTACAGGAAACACCCTTAAACCCACCAAATATTGGGGCTGTTGTCTTAAACTTCTTAAACCAAAAAACCGGGACAAAATGCCCAGAGATTTTCTTGTCCCACATCAACAATCATCAACATGTACCCTCTGGTAAACTAACATAACTATGGAAAATCACCATTTTCAATGGGAAAATCCACTATAAATGGTGATTTTCAATAGCTATGTTAAATTACCAGAGGGTATCTGGTCCTTTCTGGATGTTGCCATACATGGAATCGACGGAATCCGACGGAGACTTGGCCAAAATTGGCCCATCTGACGTGAGTTTTGTCTGCCTTCCGCGTGCACTTCTGGGCCCATCACCTGAGGATTTGGATAACACATCATGCAAATTATGCTGCAAATATGCACCCTGGACAAGTGTTCAATATTGTTCAATATTGTTCAATGTTCACCCTCGTGAAGTGGGGACTACACCAAAAAAAAACGAATTACTTTGCTACTTATATTGTAATCCCCACAATGAAACAGCCTAGGGATCAACGTTCATCTGGGGTTGACATCCTGAATGTCTGGCTGCTGAGTCTGGCTTAAGGTTCTGGCTCTCGAAAGTTTCTCTGATGTGATTGAAGAGGTCCTGAAAAAATCATAATTTCGAAGGACTCTATTGGCTGAAAACCAACCTGCTGTCATCTTTGAAAGAAATGGTTTCTGCCAGGAGAGAAAACACTGATTCGCTCCTGTCAACCTCGACAGTCCATCCTTGCAATTGATTCCTCAGCTGCAAAGCGTCGGTCAAATCCCCATCTTTTCTCTCTCAACCACTTGAGCAAAGTCCTAAATCCCCTGTCATCTCTTGATAGTGGTTGGCTGGTATGGGTTCGCATATTGGGTCGTGTCATAATCCCCACCTAGGAGAATGTTATGATAGCTCTTGTTAAGGTTATCATTCTTATTGCATATTGCTAATGTCATTATCCAAGATCATAATACTGCCAAATAAACCAGTTATCGTCAGTATTGCCATCAACCAATCACTGAGGGCCAAGCGCCTGCACAAATTCACAGCCTGGGTCAGCGTTGCAATTTGGAGATGGCTATACTGCCCAAAATGGTAGTGTGTCAAAACCTTGTACCCCTGGTGAACATCAAAATAGCTGGTAAATGGATGTTCATCCCATTAAAAATGGTATCTATAGGTATTGACCCATACCCAAAATGTTTCACTGGATAAATCTCCAAACAACATTTCAATGGTCTAGTCTAGTTTATTCCTCGTCGCAAAGAGTTCGAAGCTCTACTTCCGTTCCCTCAGCCCGGCAGACGGGAACAGGCCTATTAGCCTATGATAGTTTCATAATTCTTCAAAAAAACTGTGGATTTATTGGAACATTCTTTGTCAACTACCCAAAACATCCCAAAACGATGTTGGTGATGTTTCAATGCAAAAAACATGAGCTGGTGAAGGTGCTCCATGTTTGACCCAAATGCTTCCAAGAGGCTCGAATCCACAAGTACATGCTCCCAGGACGGGGCTGCAAACACGAATTCGTAGAGGAGCTGGCACAGTATGGCGTGGCGCCATTTCAACAGTCTCTACAACGGCTTGTCTCAAAATCGGAGTATGGACCCATTCTAGATCATTTTATGCTAGGATCATTGAACCATTGAATATTTTACGGTGAAATTGTGTGGAATCTGAACACAAAAAAATACATTTGGGGGTCCACATTTCGAGACAACCCCATTTCACACGGCAGATCTGTTAAATAGCCAGGTGTACATCTTCCTCGATGGGCACAACCTGGCAGCAGATTGATGCGAATGGGCAAGACGCTTAGTATAACGAATGATGCTGATGAAGCATCATATTTGCATGTGATATAGACTAGAACATAATATGCATATCACGTCATTATATACATGATACGACATGATATATCATATATCTACACACACACACAATACCTAGTATGATGCGTTATTTATATATATATATAGAGAGAGTGAACCGTTCAGCCTCCTTTTACCTCCACTCCGCAGCAATTTGTTAGAAATTGAAAATAAAGGAACAAAACCACCTGATACCTGAATGGGATAACTTAAGCCAAAACGCTAAGGTAAATTACGATGAGGGGTAACTCTTTGACTCCGGGGCCGTAGCTACATATATACATCTATTATTATTATCATTATTTTTTTTGTTATTATTATTGTTGTTATTATGATTATTTTCATTATTATTATTAATAGTAATTATTATTGATTATTTTTTTTATTATTAATTCTTATTGTTATTAATCATTGTCATTATATATAAATTTATTATTATTATCATTATTGGTATTATTATAAGTGTTGTTATTATTGTTATTATTAGTTGTTATTGTTATTATTGATATCATTATTGTTATTACTATTATCGGTATTATTCTTATTGTTGTTATGATTAATTATTATTATTGTCAAATTAGTATTTATTGTTATTATTTATTATTATTACTATTATCATTATTATTGTTATTATTAATCATTATTGTTATTATTGATATTATTGATATTATCATTATTGTCATTATTTTTATCGCTATTATTGCTATTGTTGTTATGGTTATGTATTATCATTATTATTAGTAGTATTATTATTTATTATTATTATCATTAGTAGTAGTAGTTGTTGTTGTTGTTGTTGTCATTATTATCATTATTATTATTGCTATTATTATTATTGTTATTATTATGATTCTTTTCATTATTATCATTATTATCATTATTGTTATTTTTTGTTTTTATTGTTGCTATTATATTTATTTGTGTATATGTGTGGTACTGTATGATCACTCAACTCACTGGTCAATCCCTCAAAACTTTCAGCTGGCCTTCCGCAAGCGGCGCCATTCGGCGCAGAAGAAGTGGTGCCCGGACATCGTGCATCTTCGATTAGAAATGGAACTAGATTGGGCAATATGACAATATGATGCAATATCCATGTTTGTACATGTTAAATCATATTTTCACATCATATAATATATATATATGTGTGTATATATATATTTCTGTATGTTTTCACTTTTTCTGTATGTTTGTGGAGTTTTTTTTTGTGGGTTTTGTTTGGGTTTTTTCTGTGGGTCGTTGTTCACATTGCTCGTCTTTGGCCGCCCAGCAACACAGACTCTACAGCACCAGTCGTCGACTCAGTGGACCAAGCCATTCGAGCCATTGGGGTCACATGGTTAACAGTTTGATAACATTAACCAATCTAACTCATCATTAATGAATCAGTCACTGTTTTTTAATAGCATGTTATAGCATGTTATAGAATGTTATAGAATGTTATAGAATGTTATAGACAACGAGCACAGGCAAGACGTGTTCCATAGTCACATCTCTTCACCGGCATTGAAATCATTGAATATCATGAAAAAGACACAGGCTTCCACAGCAAAGCCCAACGTTTCTGCATCTGCCCCAACCTGGAGAGGGACAACTTCCAGTCGCTGGGAAATCAGCTGCTACCAGCAGGGTCCGTCTGAAGATGAGGTACCCCTAATTGCTATTCATTAGAAAGTCATGTCTTCACAGTTTCCAACGGCGTAAATTCATGTGATTTGGATTAGAAAGTCATGTTTCACATTTTCCGATGGCCATAACTTGCTCTTCCAACCCTCATATGTTTGGACAATCCCATGACAATCCCATCAGCTGTCAGCGCGACTCCAGATACCCCAGTTTTTGTGTTTTTTCCTGCGAGAGCCAATCACCTGGCGAGACAAGGGTCCCTTGTCGAAGTGTCTGTCCAATGTCAATTCCGGATGACTAGGATGACTCTCAACCCCTGGCCTCTTGAGTTTTTTCAAATGGCAATGTTTTGGGAAAAAACACATGAATCTTCCATCGAAAACATTTCTCAACCCCAGCAACCAAACAAAAAAACACAGTGAGAATCGGCCAGTCCAAAGTGTCCCCAGACCTGCGCCAGCGCAGGCCTTTATTCTCTCAGCCTCTCACCAACTTTCCCGGTCCTGCAAGGACCAAGATTGGATGGGTCGGAAATCTTAGGCTCAAGGCTCAAGGTATCAAACAAATAAGGCCTTATGGACTCATAGGGGCTACTTGCCCATCAACCCTTCTGAATGGAGCTTTAAAGCTCCATATTGTCGGGTACGTTTCAGGGGCTGCTCTTGAATCAATGGTTAAGCGGCAACAAAAGTGGGGTTAAAAATGGGAGGTGAAAGGCAAAGCAGGGATCAAAACCCAAATGATCACTTGCATTTATCTATAGAGATCAACCAATGGCTAGTGAACATGGCGTGTATGTAAGACAGATTGATTCATCTTGATTGATAGTTTTGGAGATCCCCCCCACAGCTTGTATCATTGACCACCAGCATTTGCGCAATTTCAGCACTGGCCCAGTAGGAGCCCTCACAAGACCCCCTCCTGTCACAAAGGGAATATATGAAATGTATCGCAAAATCCTGTGCCAATCCAGGAGTTTGAAATCCCACTTTCCCCACGGGACAAGAATTGTGATTTCAGATCATTATACTGGCATTAACTTTGTTTGTCCAGGGTGATACAAAACAAAACAAGTGAAACAGCAGTTAATCCCTTTCGCCGAGGTGCCTTTTCGACTCCTTGGAGCAAGCAGTGAATAAACAATATACAAACAGGTGGAGAATCAACCGGAGTTTTTTCCCCAAAATTGTCCATTGCTTGATGGAGAAATGATGTTCTAAACCATTGCTTGTTTGGGTCCCCGATGTTTGAAAGATTCAACCAAATAGCTTTGTCATGGTTTGAAAATATCTTACCCTATGTTACCCTAACATCCAATGAATCCCATGTTTCACCATGTTATGAAAATTACCCTTTTATATCCCAGTATCCCTCATGTTTGGCCAGGTCAAACGGCGAGTTAAGCTGTTGCTGCCGAGATACAGCCGCTGCTTTGGGCCGTGCTCGCAAAGGGGGTTTCTTCGGGTAATCCTTCACAGAGTGATATCAGTGATGTCTGACGCTTCGTTGATACTTTATAAAAATGATTGGTTGGTCATATCGAGTAATTGTTTGATGTTTGATGCTGTATGCTTGATTGATGGTCTGCAGCAGCTTTAAACTTTGATTAAACCGACTAAACTCCCAGAGTTGAATGGAAAATTCACGGGAAACATAAGAATTGTTTGGACACAATCAGTGGTCTTCTTGCAAAAGTTGTTTCAGCCAATCGACAAATGAAACATGAAACCATCAACATGCTCGTTTTGTGACACCTGATCGATATATAACTGCGGAATGATTCATTAAGGGCTGAGTATAATCGTTGATGGTACATTGATGGTTTATATCCAAAATTGGTGGATACCCCAAAATTGCCAAAGGGGAAATCATTTCACAATTTTTGATTCACAAAGAGATCGTTTTCTCCTGGGCCCCGCCTGTGGCCGTGCACCAACAGGCATGGCTTGCCTGTCGGAAGGGCCTTGCAAGCACGGCACCAGAATCGTCAGAGGGATTTGTTTTGGCCTTGTTACAAGCTACTATGATATTTTCGACCTATGTGGGTTACCGTAACTTATTCCTTAAAGCCAATTCTGGGAGGTATACAAAGCATCTGCTGTCTATTGTATATGACCTTTATCTAGATGATATCACAGGCTGTACAAACACGCGTACAGAAGGCACATATGTTTCGAATATGAGCATGTGCGTACATACAATTGCCTGCATGTGCAATATCATACATTAATGCATACAATACATGCATACCTACCTCTTACGTGGGCAATGCCCTTTTTCTTGGTACAATCCCCTGATTCTGCCTGCAACCAAAACGCGGTCAGTAACTCCCTAGTAACCAGGTAACTAGGTAGTAGAAGGTCCTTTATCACCTACCAAAACAAGTTATCTATATAATTATATATAACTTATATATTGTTTTTTTTACCTATAGTAGATTACATATTTGATACATAGATAATCAATATCAATATCAAAATACCATAGATTACATAATATCACTATACATATTATATCAATAATACAAGCATACCATTTTTTCAATATCAATTGGTATTCTGGCAGATGAAATTTTCACTTCCCGGCCTTGGCCTTGACGCATCACTGGCTCCGATGGATGGGCTGATCCAATGGGCCCCCTGGTGGTGACTTCAAAATGACTGGAGATGAATAGATCATCTACAAATAGTTGATGAATTTATGATTATTCTATATATCTATATATATATGTGTATATATATATATGTATATATATATGTATATATATATATATGTATATATATATATACATATCTACCTATAATTATATATTTTTATAAGTGTGTGACTCTAATGAGAATCTTGGATCTACAATTATCCTGGCTAGTAGGAATATAGATCCAAGATATCAAAAAAAAACTGATATCACCCCACTTTGGCTTTCGCCCCATTGGCTCCAGGCTGGGCCAAAATGCTGGAGAGACTCCCAGAGCACCCCGCGGTTTTCAAAATCTAGCTGGTAGTTATGGACCTATGGATGTTCATCCGTTCATCCCTGAAAAATATCGAAAATCTTGGAAGACCATCAAATTCTTCCCTGATTTGGTGTAAGCACCATGCTCTCGATGTGATGGTTCCAAATTGCATCTGAGGTTCAAAGGCGCTACCGGAGTCCTTGGTTTGTCGAGCCATCGACGGTCTCAATAAACAAAAAGGGATCAGAGGGATGAGATGGTCCAAATTTTAGGGACTTCAAAAAGCTGCAGTATCATCACTATCTATGGTGAAAAGATGTTTTTCCAAGATGTTGACAAAATCTGTGAAGCAACCAGTGGGACCAGTGGGAAAATGGAGCCACCGGACAGCCATCGGGGCCATCGGGGCCATCCCAACAAGTCCCAACTGTGTTCGGCGACGGATCATGGCAGTCGAGTCACTCGGTCGCCCATCCTGAGCCCAGTGATTGTTTCTTCGAGAGAAGTACCATCTAACATCTCCTAACTGATCCGTCCGAACTTGTAGGAAAACAATGGAAAACATGTCGTAGAATTTTGAAACATCTCAAGATATCTCAAGATATCTCAAGATATCTCAAGCTCTGCAGTCCTGTTTCTTTCGATCTCTCCTTGCCTTTGCGTCCCTTTCCTTTTCCGTCGCCTTTCACTTTTCCACTGTCGAATCCGTAGCCGGTGGATCCTGACTCCTTTCCTTTGCCATAGCTGCCATAGCCATCTTTGCCTTTGCCCTTGGAACTCCCTTTGGAAGTTCCTTGCCAGTCGGCTTGCCGGTCGGCCTTCCAATCATAAACTTCTTCCCTCTCTTTGCCTGACAGAACTTGAGGCACATCATTTTTATGGGACATGGAAATATGATAAAATATGAACAAACTGACAACTTCGCACCCTCCATATATGCCATATATGTCATATATATCATATATATATATCATATATATATATATGATATATATATATATGGTATATATATTATGCCATCGCCTTTGCTTTTGCCTTTCCCTCCTTTCACTTTTTGGTGGCCATCACCTTTCCCGTTGAGACCTGGCCGATGTTTCACCAACAAATCACCAACAGCACGTGGCTATCTTGGGGTCCCAATTTTATCACCCAAAATTCATCGCGCGTGATGCCCAGTTTTCATCCGAAAAAAAAAAAACATGCCTTGCAAACCACTGCTAATACTGTTTAGGAATTAAATAAGAAAACGCCAGAAATTCCTTGGATGTTCCTCTCACCATTTTTGGGAAATGTCCAAAATTACGCGAGAAGTGTGGTTTTTGTCACCGTTTTTGTGCCTGGTGGAGTTCTGCGCTCACCTCGTTTTTATGTGCTTGGTGGATTCAACGATAAATCTGTAGAACTGGTCGTTTGGAATAATCCTAATACAGTGATGCTGAGAATAAATGATTGATTGATTATCAATAATAGGATATAATATGACAGTATATGACAGTATATGACAATAGGATATAATAAGGAATCCTGTTACATATTCTAGTGATCATCATTGATTGATCATAGGATATAATAGGAATCACTGTTTATAAATGGTAATCAATCAATCAATCATTAAATGTTTATTATATCATAAATAATAATCATCTTGCATATGAGAAACCACGACTCAGGTGGGAGATCAATCAGAAAACACGCCACATTTTAAGAGATTCTCTCCTTGTTAGAGCGGTATCATCTCTGGGTCTGGGACTCGGCAGCAATCTCACCTGCTGGACTAGCTGGTTCTGGATCAAAATTGAACACCGAAAAAATGATGTGTTCATGAAGTTCATCACCCATGTGCTCACTATGCCATTGTCCGATGTTTTTTCCATTTTTTTCCTTTTCGTCCATCTTCAAATGGATGGTGTCCCCTGGGCCCCTGACACTCCACTCTCGGGAAACTGGCCTGGAAAATGAAACCATCCTTACCAATAGTACCGCACAAGGCAGTGGCGGAAATTTCAAAGATAGGAAACCTATTGGAGAGGTGGGTTGTTGTGACGCATGGATGTCAGAGCGAACCCACTGAAGGATCGACAGGCGGTTGAATCTCAGAGTCTCTCTATTTTTCTATCTCTCTATCTCTCTCTGTCTCTTTCTCTCTTTCTCTCTATGTTTCTCTGTCTCTCCCTCTCTCTCTATCTATCTCTATCCCCCTCTCGTTCCCTCTCTCTCTCTCACTCTCTATTTATCTATCTGTCTGTCTGTCTGCCTGTCTGCCTGCCTGCCTGTCTGTCTATCTCTCTCTCTCTCTATCTATCTATCTATCTACCTACCTACCTACCTACCTATCTATCTATCTATCTATCTATCTATCTACAGTATCTATCTACCTATCTCTCTCTAAGCAATTCTGCGAAACTTCCTCCAAGAGTGGAACTTGACAGGTCCAAGACGAAGCAAGTCTGCGAGACTTCCTCCTAAAATTCGAAGTTGGCGACATCAAAAAACGGAGCAAGTCTGTGAGACTTCCATCACTGTTGCTGCATCTGTCCATAAATCGGAAGCTTTACTTCTAAGCTTCCTTCGGCTAATTGTAGGTTTATAAACTCCATGGTTAATAATGGTTGCTAATGGTTGTTGATGGTTGATGGTCTAATCCCAATAATAAACGATAAACCTACCATTTGGGGATGGCTTTGTATAGGTATACCAGGTAGACAAGAAGCATATAGATCCTACGTTACTGGATGGACAGCGTAGGTCGTCGTATGTAGGTAGCATGCGGCTTTCAAATGCTGTAAATAATGTGCAAGTCGAAGGTCGTGGCTTTGAAACGCTGCAAATTGCATGCAAATGAAAGGCCGTGACTCGGGAATGCTGCAAATAGCATACGGTTGGCAACCGGGGGTACCGAACCGGGAACCGGGAATATGTATATATATATATACATTGCCACACAATTGGCTTATAGTTATATATTCCAACCTCTATTCCCAGTGAATTGATTAGTTGTCACCACATGTTTATCCGTCACGGCATCAGGCTGAGCTTCCAACCAGCTGGAATATCCTGGCTCCCAACTAGCCTGGTGCAACCCTGGGGAGTTAACAGACCAACCATGGGGATCTAATGGGACATGTGTGTATATGCAGATACAGATGCATAATATGTCAATATACTATATTATCATGTGTATATATATATATTATATATATTATATATATTATATATATTATACACACCTATGTCAGTATGAACCTATATATATATACAACACTATGAGATAGAACCAGCGACCATTGGGGAATTTCACTCGCAATTACTTTCTTGGTATGGCCGCTGGGAATATATCCTCAAAAATCAGATGTGTGGGTTTTCACCAATGAAGTTGTGGGGGTGCCAATGTTTTGATCTTCAAACATTGGGATGAGGTAATGCATATGGATAGTCTGCGGGACATAGCAGACAAGACGATGGGGAGGAAACCAACCCGTCTATGTTGCTACCATGTGATACCATGGGATATGACCAGCAATATGATTTGGATGTGCCCAAGATTTGGAGATGGATCTATGAAATATGACATGTGACTATGAAAACTAGACGACAAGAATGTGGCCCAAAAGAAAAAAGCAGGAGCGAGTGGATCAAAGAGAAGATATGAGGATCACGGATGATGAACGATGATGAAAGATGATGAATGATGGATCAGGCGGTGGATGTCAATGACTTATGGATGCATAATGAATGATAAGGAAATGATTAAGTTTTATCATATGTGTATCTGTATATTTCAATGCCGTCTGCTCACATGACTGGGACAACCCCAGCGAATCGCGATACAGTGTCAAGAAGCAAAGCATGTCGCACCCTGACTGCAAGGCAGGAACGGAAGCTCAAAGACAAAGAATGAAAGTTTCAAGTCTTTAAACACAGAAACTTTTACACAGAGAAGTGCTTACACAGAGGAGCTCTTACACACAGAAGATGTGACACAGCGAAGTTTTTGCACAGAGGGGTTTTTCCACACAGAAACTTTTACACGCAGAAGTTTTTACACAGAGAAGTCTTTACACGGAGGGTCTTTTACACAGGAGTTTGTACACGCAGAAGCTTTAACACAGAGAAGCTTTACATGGAGGAGCTTTTACACACAGAAGTCGTGCGAAAACGTCACGCCTGATGTTCCAAAATCGTAATTTTGGACCGCAAACGTTCCAAGTCGGTGAAAGTCCAATTCTGTTCGTCCTTGGGCAACCCTCTGCGGAGATCGCGTGTGCTGGACGCACAAAGGTGTGTGGAAATGCGAATTTTCTGTGGCCGAGCATTGCCCTTTCGTATGGCATGAAGGCCAAATGCCAAAAACGGTGTAGAATTGCAGTTCTGAAAGTTCAGATGCAACACTTTCGCACGAAATGACGGTCCAAGGGCAAAAAGCTGGTGTAAAATTGCGGTATACAACGTCACAAGGAAATATCGCAAGCCTGATGTAAAATTGCAATTTTGAGTCAGCTGCAACCCTTTCGCACGAAATGAGGGCTGCGCGTCAGAAACTGGTTTAAAATTGCGATTTTGAAACTTCTGATGCAACCATTTCGCACGAAATGAAAGCCGAACGTCACAAACTGATGTAAATTTGCGATTTTGAAATTTCAGACGTTTGAAAATAAAGGTCACATGGAAGAAACTGATGTACAAGGACAAGCAGAATTCGCATGTCACCGCACGTTCGTGCGTCCGACGCGCACGATCTCCAGGGTTGCCCAAGGACAAACAGAATTTGCATGTCACCACACGTTTGGGTGTCCGACACGCGCGATCTCCTTAGGGTCACGTTTCGTAAGCCACTTCCTGGCTTCCCCCTGCCGCTAAAAGAGAGAAATTTAGAATAACCTGAGAAGTAGGAGTTTTGTAGGAGTTCAAATACGAAGTTAACTACTGTGCAACAACTCCTGTGTAACGACTCTTGTGGAACAACTCCTGTGTAACCCGCCTGTGTAACAACTCCTGTGTAAGAACTCCTGTGTAAGAACTCCTGTGTAACAACTCCTGTGTAAGAACTCCTGTGTCAAAACTCATGTGTAACAACTCCTGTGCAAATGACATTGTAGGAGTCTTGTAGGAGATTGTAGACGTTGAGCAGCTGTAGATTCTATTAAGGATGTAGATTGTAAATGTGATGTAGATGAAGTTGATGTAGATGATGTAGGTGATGTAGAGGAAGTAGGAGACATTATGTAGATGAAGTGAAAAGTTGAATTTGGCAGCAGTTCTTTGAGAAGAAACCCTTCGCAGGAGCAGGTGTTTAGATCCTGGGATGGAAAGGGGTACCCTATCAGACAACATCAGACAACATAAAAAAACAACCCACTTTTTTGACCCAACTGGTTTCGGAAAATGCACGGTTTCGCTGAAATGCCTCTCTTTTTCATCAAGCGGACATTTTGGGAACATCGGTTGACATCTTCTCGGGTCAACTCTCCTACGATAAACGCACTTTACACTCTTACCTTGCAGAGTTGTGTTTTCGCTTTAACGAGGTGGGTATGTCCAAAAACGGTGTATCGACAAATCCAATATTATATATATAGCAGTATGTTTCAAGTAAAAAGACAATGTTGGAGTATCAACCCACGCGAGCATGTTGTGGTTCAGTTTGTCATAAATCAAACGTCAGGTCGATTGCACCTTGTCCCAAGCCTGCCATTCCCAATCATCTTGTTTGCTGTATCCTCAGTATGGGGGAAAAGAGTCAACCTAAATCCAGCAGCTAGCATGGACACAATACTGCGTATAGAACCTTGCCTGATCCCATCAGTCAATTTGAGCACGCTTGTTTACACTTCTAGTTCTTCAAAAAATCTGGTGTCCACTTCAATTGATTCTAACTCTGGTTGATTGCTGAAGGGTATAATGTTGTTATTTCTGGTTGAACCCATCTCATGTTGTTGATTATATATATAACGTATATATAACGTATATATGTGTACCATGATATTCCTTTTACGGTTGGCTAAATCCCATGATATCCATTCTTGGTGAAATCCCACATGTTTCTCTGGACTCTGGAGACATTCCGCTGGTTATACCCCCGCTGGTGAAATTCATTTGGGGGTATATCCTTAACCAACAGGGGATATGGCTGGATATGGATGGATATGGAGTCCTTAACCCCCCATATCCATCATTATCCATCCATATCCCCTGTTGGTTCATGACTAGTTTGACTAGTAAAAACCTGCGCCAAGCATCCCTGACTCCAGCGACCCTTTGCTGCCATCACTCAGCCAGGGAAGCTGTGCAGTGCATGTCGGACTGCTGTCCGTTGCTGTCCGTTGCTGTCTTGCCATGGATGGCTTTCGGGGAACTTTGATCAACTTGGACATCTGTTGACTGAAAAGATCAAAAAAGATCAACCATGATCACGTCTTGCATCAACTTGCCATGTCAAGAACTTCAGTTTAAAGTGTTGGTTTGTAAATATATCAAATATAATATACATGCAACATCATGTAACTATAATCGTACCAATTGTACCTGTGGCTGGGTGGTTCTCAAATTTGACGCCGTTCATCAAAAGACACAGCTGGAGAAGCGTCAGAAGCTTGAGGCTTCCATGGCGAAACCGAGGAGTTGAGCGTCAGACACTGTGAAAAAATGGCACCTTTGATGGTTTTAAAAAGGTTTAAAAATCCACATTAAAACAATTAAAACTATGAAATAAATTGAACTAAGTAACAAGATGTAACAACATGTTTAAGATCTTATTATATCTCATTAAAAACCTGTTACTTATTTCATACTTAGTTCAATTTATGTCATTTTATGGCCACAATTGGGTGCAAATCTCCCCCATTTTCCATCGATCCCTTGAGGCCTCGCGTTCCAGAGCCACGCTACGGTGGCCGTGGGATGGGATGGGTCAAAGGGTCAAAAGCCAACGGTAGCACCACGGTGAAGATCAAAATATCGTGGTAATGGATGTTGTATGGATGTTGATACTGTACATGTTGATACATTTTGAATGATGTTGATACATGTTGATACATGTTGATAAATTGCTTCCCTCCAAACATCTTTCTGGGTGAGTTTTCGGACGACCTTTGACCCATCTCCATTTCATCCATTTCATGAGCATCACACACGGTGAGACCGGACCAAAAAATCATTGGCCAATCTGAGCCAATGCCCAGAGATGTATTGGACAACTTCCCAACAAAAATATGATTCTTCGCTGCCTCAGGGAAAATCCTGGTAGTGGCCTGCACCAGAATGAGATTACAGGATGTGCGACCATATGACTATTTCAAGCGATGACGAAGATCTCTGTTTTCTGCAGCAGTTTCTCTAACACTGAAGGTTTGGCAAGGAAGCGGATCAGCTTTCATGGTGACTTCTTCTGAGTATGGGGGGAAAACATGCACATAAGATATCATAAGATGGAAAATTGCGGTAACGCGGGATTCCCAATCAACCATCCCTACTTGTCAACGAGGTGCTAGTCCAAATCATCCAAATATTCCGGGCATGCCCAAATTATCCCAAGTTCATGTACCGCGAATTGGGGATGGTTCATGACTGTGGATCCCCCTTTAAGATCTCCTAACTTGCGAACCCTCTATCTCACGCAAATCATGATTAGTTCACGGCAATGCCTAGTGATGATCATTCCATAATACATAAATAGGATATATAATTACATATATATCATGTTTTAACCATGTATAACCACCAAAAAAAAACTTCAACCAACACCAGGGCCACCAGGGTTTAGCTGCACCTACTCGAACTACGAAAACTTTCGCACAGTCTTTGCTCCAGTTTTCCCGCCTAGGACTGCTCTGCTACCAATTTGGCCTCGCAATGGATATATAAACAGCTGGGTTTAGGGTTTAGGGTTCATATAGCCATCCTGACCACTATATCATGATATGGGTTTCTATAGAGGTTTCTATGGGTATGTCAATGTTTCTATATATCTGTAATATCTGTGTTTTTTAGTGAGGATTCTTGAGATCATTTTACCAACAGTTGGCAAAATAGATGCACCTGATAGGGTACCCATGGGTACCCCTGAATCCACTGGAAGACATCCGATTTCCGGCACCCCAAATGGAGATTCCATGTCATGTATGACATTTTTAAGTGTGTCTGAAAATGGGGTATCCCGTGTATCCCCAAAATAGTCACCATTGGAAATTCTCAGGTACCTCGTTTTCAGACAAACCTATATAAAAGCCATCATTGACAATAGCCTATGCAGCTTGGCTCCATGCCTGGGCTTGGGAGGACAACATGCGGATCAGCTTGCCCGCTACAGCCTACAGGGGAACGATTGGTGCAAAGGAAGAGAAGACGATCTGAGAAATTTTATTTCAACAGTCAAACAGTTGAACCATGCAAACCTGCTTATTTTGAGTAGCTGAATCATTGGACAAATGTGTTTGTCCAAAACGGGGCACCCCAAAATCCAGTGGTTTAAATTGCAATTTCGAAGTGGTTGACACCATTGGCATGCACACGTGAAGTGTATATCGCCAAATTGTTGCATCATCATTTGATCATGTTCTTCGTTTTCGATCATTCCACAAATCTGAAAGGTTTAGAAGCCGTTCACACCTTGCTATCTGTCTCTCAATTGGCCTGAGCACAAGCATACTCTTGCTCGTCGGCCAGATCGCCCTGGTTGCAGAAAGTTATGTGTGAAAACATGAAAGCGATATGCCACTTAGGCATCAGCAATCGGCAAAAATGCATCTGATTCAAATGTCAAAAGTTTACTGCCCGAAACACCAGAATCCAGGAAAACGCCCAAGGGCTCAAGCTGGATTACACAACTGTGAAGTCGAGGTAGCGATGCAAGATGTTTTTGACACGTTTCAAAACGATGTTTTTTCAAGGGCCTCTTCGTAGGATACAGCGCTTTGTCCCTGTGCCACGGAACTCAAATGGAGCCAATAGTTGTGTTCATTGCCTGTCTCTCTAGAAATCGATGCATTGATGAGTCGGTCACTTGATTTAACGGAAGATCTGCAAGAAACATCAAGAAACCCTAGGTTTAGTAGCTAGTAGTTACACATGATCGACGTCACTTGCACAACAAACGCACAAAACATCCGCACATCCACGTCCTTTGCCTCAGTCAAGACTGTTGTGACTGTTGTGGGCCTCTCCTGACAGATACTGTGCATCTGCGGTTCGCTACACAGTCAAAAGATGGGAAATGAGCAAACATTTCAAGCTCGCATCAAGTCTCTAGTAAAAGTGTCCAATATTCAATGAACAATATTTCATGAACATGTTCAATGATATCTGATCAATGTTCTGAATTCTGTTATATAGAATGTCACATCTCTGCCACAGCCTTGGAAAATTACAACGCCCCCAGGTCCGGCTGCCTGTGGAACTGCCTCACATCACGAGGCAATCTTTGAAAACCCAGGACAACGAGGACAACGAATATGGGAGATGGATTCATGGATCAAAAACCTCAACAAAACCTCAACACTCTAATCTGGCATTTCACAAACATCAAAAGTTTACCAGGTACCATACTGTACCATACTGTACCTGCTGTAAGTTGATCCCCAAAGCTCCGCCTCCAAATGCTCCGCCAAGGCATTTGCCACGCTGTTTTCAGCCTCTTCGACCTCGTTGTTTGGAGCAAAAACTATGGATCTAGTCCAATTTTGACCAAAAAAACAGATTGTTTTTGACCAAAAGAAACAACAGTTTTTTTTCAATTTGTTTGAATTCTTCAACCAACAACAACCCAGTTCAACCCATCAACCCACAACAACCTTAGGGAATCATCAATTCAGTGTGGTTGGATCGTGCCTCCTTAGCACGTCCAATGGCATCCAAGGCCTACCACCCGGAAACCCGGGGTTGGAAACCCCATGGAAATTCCCATAGAAAATGAGGAAAAAAAAATGAAGAAAGAATAATAGATGGTAAATATTTACAATTATTTACTTATGGGATTTTGCCAGTTTCTATTCATTTGTTGGAGAAAACTCCTCCTGATCATGGGAGTGTTGCTGTAAATATGTCCTGCCAATTCTGAGAGATTCAGCTGAGAGGCTGCAGTGCCATCATTTTTTGGGTTTTAATGTCAACCCCGGATTAATAAACCATGGTTTATTAATTAGGGGGGTACTCCTCCAATAGTCATAATCTAATACTTAAATGGTACCCTCCCAATCAAACAGCCTAGGGGTTTATTAATCCAGGGTTGACATTAATGGGGATTTCCAGCTGGACTCTGATTGCCGGTGATCATCCGCAGTGTATTTCTTGGGAAAACTACTAAGCCATAACCCAATCATCAACCAACCATGAAATTTCTCAATGTTGTGAATTGTACTCCCATATATTTCATGGTTGAAACATGTTGAAACCTTAAAAACCCCTAGGCCCTATGATGGTAGCAAATCCCAACTAAACAACAAAAATCAACCACTGCTGGTAGTAAAAGCTGGCCGCCTCGGTGACAGAATCGCCGTCGCCAGCCACACTTTTTTGAGCCTCTCATGCGCCAAGGGATTTGACCACAAGATGGAACATTATGGGATTGAACGTGCAAAAATTGGGGAATTTGCCGATGCAAGTGGATTATATATATATATATATGCCTTCATATTCATCCTTCCTTGACAGTGTGGATTCACAACCGTTTTTCGTTAGTATCAACACATTGCAGGCATTTGCAGGCTATGAATGGTTTGTGTATGTTTTGTATCTGTTGATATTATTTGATCATTTTGATATTGGTCTATATTGGTCTCATGAATTTTGTACGCTGGTAGAGGCGCCTCTTTGGCGCTGATTGGGCTATCTACTTCTGGAGGTGAGTCCTCGGAAAGTAAAGCCCGAGATCGGCCGAGATCGGTCCAAACAGAAAGAACATCGGCCTGAATTGATGGCAACTTTAATGGTGAAAATATGATAAAGCATCAGAAAATTGCCTCAGTCCCGGATTCGTGAAGAAAGAACTCTGCCAAAATGTAAATGTCCCTTGCACTTGCACCAATTTCCACACTGAAAATGTCTCAGTCCTCTGCTGCCGGGTTTTGCTCGCCAGGTTCGCTTTGCCCCTGACCAGATCAAAATTTTATGGAAACATGCCATGACTAGCTCTGAGAAGATACAAAATGATACAAGCTGACCACATGCTTGCATGCGGTCATTACTTACTGATAGTATCAAAATACATTAAGTCATATGTTCAATCATCACGGTTTTCCTCAGACTTGCCTCTCGCACAGTTGTTGGACTTCTGGCCCCAGGACTATCTGGAGATGAGGCCTTCCAAATCAATTCAAATCAAAATGCTGTTCATAATCTGTAGAAGTATCGGAAGTATCCGAAACCGAGGCAACAAATTAAAAGGACACACTTTCCTTGAAACCTATCGAAACGATCTGTTCACAGCACATTCTCTTTCCAGTCCTCTGTGACAGGGTGTTGCTCGCCCGGTTCGCTTTGAGCCTGCAGAACAAACCAAAATTTCATGGCGACAGGCGTCGACACCTCTGAAAACTTTGACGCAACAACTTGACCACAAGCTCTCTTTGGATGACATGAGACACTTGCTACTGCATCATGACAATCATGACAGTGAGATGCCGTATCTTCTTGGACTGATGTCATTTTCTCAGAGGCCTCTCTCACAGTTGTTGGACTTCTGGCCCCAGGGCTATCCGGAGGTGAGTCCTTCCGAATGCATGTGCATGTGATCTGAGGCAACTTTAAAATCTAAACAAAATATGTGCCTTGCGTGTTTTGGGACAGTCAGGTTGTTTTTTCCAAGTCCTCTGTGACCGGATTTTGCTCGCCAGGTTCGCTTTGTCCCTGCAAACACGGATCAAAATCTAAGCAGCGACACGTCACCACTGCCTCTGAAAAGCACGCAAAAGCTAGTTGACAAAATGCTGCTTGCATGGGAAAAGGATCAACACTTTTCGATGACATCCAATCTTCTTAAAACGGTTTTCCTCTGACCCGCCTCTCGCACAGTTGTTGGACTTCTGGCCCCAGGACTATCTGGAGATGAGGCCTTCCAAATCAATTCAAATCAAAATGCTGTTCATAATCTGTACAAGTATCGGAAGCATCCGAAACCGAGGCAACAAATTAAAAGGACACACTTCCCTTGAAACCTATCAGAACGATCTGTTCACAGCACATTCTCTTTCCAGTCCTCTGTGACAGGGTGTTGCTCGCCCGGTTCGCTTTGAGCCTGCAGAACAAACCAAAATTTCATGGCGACAGGCGTCGACACCTCTGAAAACTTTGACGCAACAACTTGACCACAAGCTCTCTTTGGATGACATGAGACACTTGCTACTGCATCATGACAATCATGACAGTGAGATGCCGTATCTTCTTGAACTGATGTCATTTTCTCAGAGGCCTCTCTCACAGTTGTTGGACTTCTGGCCCCAGGGCTATCCGGAGGTGAGTCCTTCCGAATGCATGTGCATGTGATCTGAGGCAACTTTAAAATCTAAACAAAATATGTGCCTTGCGTGTTTTGGGACAGTCAAGTTGTTTTTTCCAAGTCCTCTGTGACCGGATTTTGCTTGCCAGGTTTGCTTTGTCCCTGCAAACACGGATCAAAATCTAAGCAGCGACACGTCACCACTGCCTCTGAAAAGCACGCAAAAGCTAGTTGACAAAATGCTGCTTGCATGGGAAAAGGATCAACACTTTTCGATGACATCCAATCTTCTTAAAACGGTTTTCCTCAGACTTGCCTCTCGCACAGTTGTTGGACTTCTGGCCCCAGGACTATCTGGAGATGAGGCCTTCCAAATCAATTCAAATCAAAATGCTGTTCATAATCTGTAGAAGTATCGGAAGTATCCGAAACCGAGGCAACAAATTAAAAGGACACACTTCCCTTGAAACCTATCGAAACGATCTGTTCACAGCACATTCTCTTTCCAGTCCTCTGTGACAGGGTGTTGCTCGCCCGGTTCGCTTTGAGCCTGCAGAACAAACCAAAATTTCATGGCGACAGGCGTCGACACCTCTGAAAACTTTGACGCAACAACTTGACCACAAGCTCTCTTTGGATGACATGAGACACTTGCTACTGCATCATGACAATCATGACAGTGAGATGCCGTATCTTCTTGAACTGATGTCATTTTCTCAGAGGCCTCTCTCACAGTTGTTGGACTTCTGGCCCCAGGGCTATCCGGAGGTGAGTCCTTCCGAATGCATGTGCATGTGATCTGAGGCAACTTTAAAATCTAAACAAAATATGTGCCTTGCGTGTTTTGGGACAGTCAAGTTGTTTTTTCCAAGTCCTCTGTGACCGGATTTTGCTTGCCAGGTTTGCTTTGTCCCTGCAAACACGGATCAAAATCTAAGCAGCGACACGTCACCACTGCCTCTGAAAAGCACGCAAAAGCTAGTTGACAAAATGCTGCTTGCATGGGAAAAGGATCAACACTTTTCGATGACATCCAATCTTCTTAAAACGGTTTTCCTCTGACCCGCCTCTCGCACAGTTGTTGGACTTCTGGCCCCAGGACTATCTGGAGATGAGGCCTTCCAAATCAATTCAAATCAAAATGCTGTTCATAATCTGTACAAGTATCGGAAGCATCCGAAACCGAGGCAACAAATTAAAAGGACACACTTCCCTTGAAACCTATCAAAACGATCTGTTCACAGCACTTTCTCTTTCCAGTCCTCTGTGACAGGGTGTTGCTCGCCCGGTTCGCTTTGAGCCTGCAGAACAAACCAAAATTTCATGGCGACAGGCGTCGACACCTCTGAAAACTTTGACGTAGTAACAACTTGACCACAAGCTCTCTTTGGATGACATGAGACACTTGCTACTGCATCATGACAATCATGACAGTGAGATGCCGTATCTTCTTGGACTGATGTCATTTTCTCAGAGGCCTCTCTCACAGTTGTTGGACTTCTGGCCCCAGGGCTATCCGGAGGTGAGTCCTTCCGAATGCATGTGCATGTGATCTGAGGCAACTTTAAAATCTAAACAAAATATGTGCCTTGCGTGTTTTGGGACAGTCAGGTTGTTTTTTCCAAGTCCTCTGTGACCGGATTTTGCTCGCCAGGTTCGCTTTGTCCCTGCAAACACGGATCAAAATCTAAGCAACGACACGTCACCACTGCCTCTGAAAAGCACACAAAATCTAGTTGACAAAATGCTGCTTGCATGGGAAAAGGATCAAAACTTTTCGATGACATCAAATCTTCTCAAAACGGTTTTCCTCAGACTTGCCTCTCGCACAGTTGTTGGACTTCTGGCCCCAGGACTATCTGGAGATGAGGCCTTCCAAATCAATTCAAATCAAAATGCTATTCATAATCTGTAGAAGTATCGGAAGTATCCGAAACCGAGGCAACAAATTAAAAGGACACTTCCCTTGAAACCTATCAGAACGATCTGTTCACAGCACATTCTCTTTCCAGTCCTCTGTGACAGGGTGTTGCTCGCCCGGTTCGCTTTGACCCTGCAGAACAAACCAAAATTTCATGGCGACAGGCGTCGACACCTCTGAAAACTTTGACGTAGTAACAACTTGACCACAAGCTCTCTTTGGATGACATGAGACACTTGCTACTGCATCATGACAATCATGACAGTGAGATGCCGTATCTTCTTGGACTGATGTCATTTTCTCAGAGGCCTCTCTCACAGTTGTTGGACTTCTGGCCCCAGGGCTATCCGGAGGTGAGTCCTTCCGAATGCATGTGCATGTGATCTGAGGCAACTTTAAAATCTAAACAAAATATGTTCCTTGCGTGTTTTGCGACCGTCAAGTTGTTTTTTCCAAGTCCTCTGTGACCGGATTTTGCTGTTTGACCATTTGTTCCCCAAATTTCCTGGAGGAAAACCCATGGGCTTTGCTGTTGGTTTTTCTTGAATCACTCCAAACGAGGAATAGCATATTATTTAAAGTTATTCATGCTTATCAGTGCGTAATATGTGATGTTGAATCATGTTTCATGTTCATTTTTTTTCATGTTTCTCAGCAACGACTTTCTGCCTCTCTGGCGGTTGGGCTGTCCCCTGGGCTGTCTGGAAGTGAAGGGTCCTGGCCGAAGTTGGAAAATTCAGCGGCAAAGAGAAAGATTCAAAGATCAACATGGATTTAACCAACAAGTTAACTAACAAAATGAGTGAATTACTTGATTCTACATGATATTACCCCAAAATAGATTTCACCAATGATGGATATCATTGGGAAATTAGGGGTATAAAGTGGGAATATAATGAGGATGTGATAGATATATGAGCCATGTGAGATGAGTTCAACCAGCTTGGGTGTGTCCAGCCATGATCGCAGGTATGTCCAGCAAAAATCCTCCGAGGATAACCAGAAATAATGGGATTATACCCCCATCAGTAATAGACTCCCCGGTTTATTTCAATTTCAATGGGGAGAAAGATGATCAAGGACGGGATTTTGCAGCAACATTTGAGTATGGATCAAAACTGGAGGCGGAACCAGTTTTACAAATTGGTGCTGTGGTATTGACCATCGAATGTTCGGTCGGTTGCCGGGTAGATGACGGCCATTTCGTTTCTTAAAAACATCGCGAAAAGATCATGAAAGCCCCCTCTGTAGATCCGTAGAATCCCCATACAAAAGATATCTCCACATAACTATAATGATCTATTGAATCTATTGTCTATTATGTATTTATATTATATATCTATATAGAGTAATAGAGAAAGTATATATATAGTATATATGATATACTCTCTGGTAAACTAACATAACTATGGAAAATCACCATGCTATTAATAGGTAAACCATCTATAAATGGTCATTTTCAATAGCTATGTTAAATTACCAGAGGGTATATAAATAGTGTCACTGTCATCCCCTCCTCGGGGCCATCCTCTGCGACTGGAGTGTATAGCAAGTCCTGAACGTCGGATGAAACAAAATCCTCACCCCCATTGGAGGTAGAGATAGAACAGATAGAACCCCGCAATGTAGGACACCATGATAACGATGATAGTAAGAATAACAATCATGATAAATATATATATATAATTTATATATATATAATTTAAGTCATCGTATAAGAACAGTAACAATAAAAATGATCAGAATCAAATGAATCAAAGACAAGTTTGTGTTAAATGTGGTAAACTCAATGACCATATCCGTGTTGGTTTGCTGGTGAGTAAACCCCCGTTTGGGATCGTGAGAAATGACCCAAACGCCATCCATGGGTTGTGGTCAGTGCCGTTCATATATGATGCGGTGTATTAGATCAGGATTATTCCGGTCGTTCTTATCATAATTCCAGTGGATGATGAAATATCATATTGGGTTTACCTGAATCTCTATCCCTATTAGTATCCCAATGCCAGTGCGGTTATGCATATCACTACAAAGATTATCCCAACAGTTATTATGGTATGACTATCGTTGTCATTACAAGAATGACAATATGATCATAATCACAAAAATTAGTAGGTAGGATAAAAACAAGAATACATCATTCTCATGATA